ATGAGTTTGAATTTGTCACTAACCTTATCTTGTGATTATGGTTTTGACAAATTCACATGGATAGGAACTCATACACCATAAAATCTAAGTGTCATAAGGTTTCTCTCCGATTCATGAGAATGATGGTGAGGAGACGCTTTCGCTAACTAGATTTTAAGTAGATAGCAATTGTGTTATTTGCATTTTCAAAAGTCGTTAGTGGAGCATGTGTGGTTAACTGTCACACTAACATGGACTTGTGAGAAATGGCAAATTCCTAAGCAATTGAGACTATGATTACGACATCCCTTCTCATAGTTCTGGAAATTGTTTAGACACGCAAGTGAGATATCTACGGAAATGTGTATGAATCTAAATTTTAGAAGTCCAACCGATTTCTGAATACATGTCAAAGCTAGTGGGAGCATAAGTGTTATGCTAATAATCATCATGTTAGTGGGAGCATGATAATTATGATTAGTATTGCAAGCTAGCAATGTTAATTATAGAAAAACAAAAGTTTCAATTCGTGAAGTTGTAGGGGTTGAAAAAGTCGTTTTGCTATAATTAAGGGAGAGGAAATTATACTTCATTTCAATTCTAGAAGCTTAGATTGAGATTTTAATCATCTTTAGTCAAGGACATATATATGAATTTTATGTCTGAATGGTTCGAATTAAGGAAATTCTATATATATATATATATATATATATATATATATATATATATATATATATTGCATTCTCAAAATTCAATTATGACTACAACATCCCTCTTCATAGTTAAATTTTGAAAACATGGAAAATAAAAAATATTGTAGCAAAAGATTGGTCTAGTATCATGTCTTTATGTTAGATATCATGAATCGTGTCCCATATGCTTCGGATATAGGATCGATTTCATGTGCTATAATATTCATCCTTTCTAAATTTTCCAAATGCTCAGGGCATTTAGAAGGGAAAAGTCTAGAACTGGATATGACTAAAGTGATTAAGCAATTATCAAGGACAATCTGAGGTTTGCCAATGATTGGTTGCTCAGGGACATTTGGAAGTATAGTGTTAATTATGGCAGGACCATATTGACATTTTCTGAAAAGAGGTAACTCTTGTTCAGAAGTGATAGTCAAAATGGGACTATGGAAATGTTCCGTAGGTGGAAGTTATTCAATCTGTATAAGATTAGAAAACCTTAATGCAAGAAGGATGTTCAAAGCAGTGTACTTTGAATATGAGACTTCGTTTCCATAGAGTTGATCTCCTTTAGAATCCTCTGTAATGACTGATGACAAGGTTTTGGTGACCTTGTGCATAATCATTATGAGAGGATCAGTGCATATAAGTTTAAAATCTAACAGATTTTTGGTAAATGGTAGGAATTAGAAATTCTTACATTTACAATAAGGATTTGGGATTGTGAAATGAGCATCATTGGAATCATGTTCAATTGATCTATTTCACAAAGTAAAGATCATAGACAAACATAGTGTGCATACTTGAAGTATGGCATAACTATTGTTTAGAAAAACAAAGTGTACATGCTAGGAGCATGGGATAACTATTGTTTTATTCAAGTATTAAGTTGATTATTTGAAACATTATACAATGAATAATGTGTAATCAATATGGTGATAAATAAAAGGTAGTTTTATTTATATTCAAAAGGGTTCTGAGGCCATATTGGATTCGACTATTATTGAATTTTACTTTCAATGTTTTGACTTCCAAAATAGCTAGGTTATTCTCTCGAATGACTAAGTTATTTAAACACTCCATAGTCGTTCATATGTTGGAAGTAGGTATGAATTAAGACTGTCATGAATCGAGGTTGTAGATGACTAAATGTGTTTAGACATAGCAATGGTTGCTACAACATTCATGAGTGCTCATAAGTTATGAGTATTGGAATAAACACACGCTCACTTGTATCACTTCATGGAATTTATCTCGAGTGATCGTGAGACGATAATATCATTAAGTCTTCAAACCTATAGATATGAGTTGTTACCTATGAGTTGGTTGTGCATTGATTGCATGTAAACGCATCAGTAACTTGATGTTATAAAATGTGTCTTTGTGTACAATTCAACAAGTAGTAGAACAAGCATATGATTCAAAGTTTATCTGTTCCTTCTAGAAATAGAAGCGATATCTGGGCCCCTCGATGATTTTGTGTTGACCCATGTACCGGGCCCGATCTGAACCTAATTGATGTGTTCAATTTAGTTCTTTGTCAAACAAATTGGAAATTGGGAAACAAACTATTGGACAATAAGTATGATGTTGTTCCATGTATTTGTCCGGCTGATATCATGAGAACAGAGAATTATATGATCACTTATCTAAACTGGCGCTTCATAGTTCAACAGAGTTTTCGAGAGCTACGATTGCTGGTTGGTTCCTGAAGCAATATACGTAAATACAGTTATTAGACTTATCCAAGTGGGAGACTGTTGGATAAGGTGTCTAAGTCCATAACTTATTTGGTATATACTTGACCCGACCCGGCGTGGTCCATTTCGGTTGCATTTCACCTGAACAATTTATATGGATAAACTTATGAGAATAGTATGTTTAGGATTTATTAATATATTATAAGTTATAATATATTAATATAAAGTCTTGTTATTTAATTAGTTTTAGTCTTAAATTAAATATGAATTAATTTAGTGATTAAAAGGAAGACTAATTAAACATGGGCCAATGCATTTTATATAATGTGGGCTTAAACTCATTAGGAATGGGCTAAGCATGAATGGGGGTCCATGGATGATCCATGGAGCTTTTAACCATGGATCCTTGGAAAGGAAAAGACATGGGTTATTAGGGTTTACCCTAATCCTCCACACTATATAAAGATGCACATATTGCAAGAAATTGCAACTAGTTGTGTGAGAACTAAGGGTGGCCGATTTCTTCATAAGTATATTATTCACTCAAGGTTTGTGGTGATTTGTGATTCCACTTAAGGCATTCACATTATTGGTGCTAGGCTCTCAAACTCCAAAAATCAACCACCATCTAAAGGTATCTATTTCTACTAGTAGTTTTATGATTCATAATCCTTATGCTATGCTAGTTAGGAAGAAACCTTGGAAATTATTATTTGCATGTATTTTAGAAAAAAACATAGATCCAAGGTTTATAGGGTTGCATGCACACCATAGGAGTGTTAGAATGCTCAAAACCCAACACATCCTTCAAAACAATATTGAACTTAGAAATCCAATCATAATGGCTTAGAAATGAAAAGTTATCCAAAGCAAAATCATGAATGATACGTTTGTGTCCTCTATAAGATTTAAACCGTATATTCAGAAACCCATTAGCCTTCTCAGGAATCCCAACCTTGAGTCCTATAATCATTTCTAGACTTTAGGATTTGTACTGTGGCTTAAAATACATTAGATAAAACAAAAAGAATTTATTATTTGTTGCGACATTTAATAGAGGAACTTTCTCTATATATTCAAAGCATCAAAATAAAAAACTCTGGAAATAATGCTATCTTGCTTGTAATAATTTGTTTAGTATTCTTGAGCTCAACATCTTCAACATCCAAATTTACTTGTAAGGCATTAAGCTCATCCAGCTCCTTGACTCTCTTTTATTTCTCAATCTTTTCCTTCTGACTCATGTGCATATTTAATTCAGAAACCTCCTCTATAACAACATTTACATTTCCTTTACCTAATCCAGAAGTTATATTGACCTTCTAACCAGTTTTAACTTCTTTCATAACCTTCATCTTTTCAGAAAGCTTCTTCTTTTCAAGCACAACTCTATCATTATCATATGTTTTCTCCATGAAGCGTGTTTGATAAGGGCCCTTAATATTTACATTCCGTTCTCCCTATTTTTCGAAGAAGCCCCGCTTCTTGAACACTATGAATATTATTCAGCTTTTCCATGATCGGTTTCAACTTTCCAGCAATTAGCTGGCCAATGTAATCAACAAATGGAGCATCCCTTATTTCAACAATCGATAACAATCGTTTGATGATTTCAGAATTTCTTCATTGAACCAAAGTCATATCTTTTTGAAATTTTTCGATATTAACATAATCATTTTTGAGATGTTCCTTAAAAACATTCACCTTCAGAGTTTGTAAAGCAAGTTTATCCATAATTTTGTTTTCAACAACAAGATCATTCTACGTGCGAAGAATTGTAATTGAAATAAACATATGATAATCTGGATTATCCATCTGAATTTCAAATTGTAAATAGAAAAAGGTTTCTTTCTCTGATTGTAATGAAATACAAAACCCTTAGATTAATTTGTTCACATCAGGAACACTCTTCTCCAAAGAATTTCTGAAATCATTCAGAAACTGTTGTACTTTATTCAATAGCTTTTCAGCCTTCTCAGTTGCTTCAGAAATTTGCTTTGTAGAATTTTTGAGCCACCTTCCTTGTTTCTTCATGAACCTTTACATTTGCAAAAGTTAACAACTCAACTGTAGCCACGTAAGTTATCACAAGATTTTCCCAGTTCGAAGTCAAAAAAGCATTTGTATGATGAAAATATTGAATCAAGTTTCTGATTCAACTCTTTGAACTGATCCTTGGTCATCAGAGCATCATCATCATATTATCAACTTTCACAGTAAATGATGGAAGAACAAAATCATCGATAGGTTTTGGATCATCCCCAAAAAGTACATCATCATCATCATTTGGAGTTAGAATGTTTTCCGTAGATACATTGATACTGACACTTGATTCCAAATTAGATGTGTTACCATGGATGCCTGAAGATCTATTCTCTTCCTTATCTGATTCGAAAGTAGAATCTTTTGGTGGATTTATAGTTGATAATGTTGTAGAAGGTGTAGTGGATTCAGTAAATATTGGATTGGATAAAGATATAGAAATATGAGGTTGAGATGTATTTACTGAACTAAATTTCTCTAAAGGTGGAATGGATGAAATCGGAATTCAAGATGTCATTGGAGAAGTAGATGTAGGAAAAAGAGGCGATGGTGGATTTTGAGATAAATTCAAAAATGGCTTAATATTTTAAAAAATATCCGACTCAAGTGGACCAGATAAAAATGGTGAAGTGGATACTTGCGGAGAAGCCACTGTTGTAGAAGGTTTCGAAATAATTGGAACTTCCGTAGTATTAATAGTATCATATTCATCATTTCTAATAACATCTTCTCCCTGATCATCACTATATGTTCGCTCATCAGAATCGTCTTTGAACACAGGCGGTGGTAACATTGGCTTTTTCATCATCTTTTTAAGTTTCCTAGGAACATTCACAGCAATAGTTGCAGATACTTTAGCTTTCCTTTTTCCTCCATTCTTGTGTAAATCACCAGCTTCAATACTCTTTATCGGTTCAATAAGAAGTTCTCAAACACCTGATATAGGCAATTTTCAATAGGCCCTAATAATTGAGTTGTTCAAAGGAACTTTCTCCTCATCACTTCAGGAATCGATCCAACAATATAAAAATTCCTCAGATAGGTAGAAAAAATGTTGTTGTTTGCATCATCGGAATTTCTTCCATAAACGAATACATCATATCTAGAACTTTGGAGTGAAGGAGAGCTCTCTTAACCACAATTGACCAAAATCAAGCACAAGAAATTTACATGTGTCGAGTAGTTGAATTAACACTTTGAGCAAAATTAATCCATATAATTTTACCAAAATCAACCTTTGTTCCAGTGAAAAGTCCATAAATCAGTGTGTAAAATATTTTACTTGAACTATCAGATCCTTAAACTCTATTTGATAAGTTTTTGAACAAAATAGTAAACAAACCATTCCAAATTAGTGGCAAGAATGATATTCTGAAATTAGAGAGCAACTAAATGTTAGAAGTATACCCCATTTGAAAAAAAAACATCTCAATCACTCTTGTAGCTTGAATCGATACTGGATTAATCGACTCAGTAGACAATTGCAACGCTAACAATTGACAAAAATGCATTTTTGAAATTCAAGTTTTGTGCCCACCAACTTCAAAATTGATAACCTTTAGTTTTTTTGTTATAAATTGCAGTAGAATACGCCTTGAGAGATTAACAAGAGGAACTTCTTCATGCATTGCCACAACCTTCAGCAATGGTGAATAACATAAATATTCGATTAAGGGTTTGAGAAGTGTGTTGGTTTTTGAAGCATTGAGATCAACAATAAGTTTTTGATTTGCTTTGATGTTCAATATAATTGTTGAAGCAGACTGATCAACAAAATAAATATGCTCAGGTGAAGTCATGATTGTTGAAAAAGATGATGAACATAGAAAATTTTTTCAATAACTACCTGAGCTTTAGATGAAATGATAGAAAATGAATCGTTATAGCTTCCTTTTGAACACAAATTATAATTAGTGAGAGAAAATCATTGCTTCACATGCCTTTCAAATATCAATTAGAACCAATAACTAAATGCCAGCTCAACATTTCCTTGTAACCATCAAGCACCGTTTGAGTTTCCAAAGCACACATCAGAGAATACAAAAGTGCACACCATCATTTGAATTAGCTTTATTTTGAACATGCTCGTTTCAGTTTCCAGCATTTCGGAATCATTGATTCACCCTTCAGTTTTGCTTAAGCCAAAATAGATTCCATTGGAATTATAATCAAGATTCATCTTCGGAATTGTAACACCATTGAGAAAAAAAAAACAAAGTTTGTAAAATAACAAAGATTTTAGTGTAAGAGTGTGCCAAAGAAAAAGAATTAACCAAGTTAAAATTAATGTGGGATTTGCGCTATCAAAATTATTTGATATGAAAAACAGCATGATCCTGGGAAACAATCTCTTTCTTCTTAGTCAATAGAGACTCAGAAGCACTTGTGTGGTTTCCATTGAATTACGCTGCGAATTTGTTTAGAATTTGCGAAAGGCCTCTTTTATTGTGTCTCTTGGGTACACTTGTCTCCATCCGTAGATGCGTCTTAATATAAGAATTGAGATACAAATTCAGAACGTTGATTGATTGATATGATCTGAATCAAGAAAAAAAATTAACATGTCTCATAGGACATAACATCGAGGTTAATCAAAGAAAGACCTCAAAAGTTTGAATGTAAACACTAGATCTATTTGGAAGAAATGATCTTCAATCATCTAATTAAGATAATGCAAAAGAATATTTGAGATATCAAAAAAAATTAGTTCAATGTTAATTCAATAAGTAAAAATCTAGAACAATAAACTGTTCAACGTCAATTCATTAAGGAGTTGTTTGTTGGGTTTCACTAAAGTCATGGTTATAACAACTTTGAGATCATAAACATAGATGTTTCTGTAATCGCGATACTAATTGGTTTTTACCAGGAATCTTACGATTACTACTAGAATTATTAGAGAATAAAATATTTGAAAATAATGGTTGGTGGTCTCACAAAAATCATGGTATCAATGATTTACGATCATAAACACAAAATGTTTGTAGCCATATACCAAAGCATGTATTACTTTAATAATCATGGGACTACATGAAACTCGTGAAATGTTATGGTTAAAAGAATGTATGATATCGACCGTCACTTCCATAAAATACAATTTTTTTGTATTTTTGATTTTTTAAAAAGAAAATTAAAGAAGACAAAATCTTTTTGGATTTTTTTTTTAATTTTTGAAAAATAAATGGAAAAACAAAGAAACTATTTTTGGATTTTTGAAAAATAAATGCAAAAACAAAAGTTTTTTTTTTTTGGAATTTTGAATTTTTGAAAAATAAATGCAAGAATAAAGAAAATATTTTTGAATTTTTAAAATTTTGAAAACTAAATGAAAAATAAAAGAAAATATTGTTGTATTTTTGAATTTTTGAAAAATAAATGAAACAACAAAGAAAATACTTACAAATGCTGAAGATCAAAACAATTATGAGGTGAATAGTTACTTCAGAATACTTCCTAAGCCTGGAATGATTCAGAATTGAACAAAAAATTCAGATGTCTCCGAAGCTCGGAATGTTTCGATAGCGAACAATGATTATGATTGGAACTAAGTTGTTGATTTTGGAATTTATTCAGCTTTAATCATTTCTAGTCCTTGTAAGATCTAATTAAAAGATACTTCTAGCAAGGTTTTTGTGAAAATATCAGCTGATTGATCAGCTGATATGATGAAATGAACTTCAACATTTCTGTGTTCAACATGATGCTTGATAAAATGTTATATTAGTGCAATGGGTTTCGCCTTTAAGTGTTGTACTGGATTATGACAAATACGTATAACACTTTCGAAATCACTGTACAATGAAATCTTTTTCATGCTTATCCCATAATCTCGTAACTGACTTTGTATCTAAACTATTTGAGAAGTACATGAAGCAGCTACAATATATTCATCTTTAGCCATTGATAACGAAACACATGTTTGTTTCTTAGATTTCCAGGTGACAATCTTTCCATCAAGTAATTGACTTCCACTAGTAGTGCTTTTTCATTTAAGACCACATCCACCTATATCAACATCAGAATATGCCTTAAAAAAGAATCCTCAATTAGATGCACACCATAAACCAAGCGAAGTTGTCTTCTTGAGATATCTAAATATATTTTTCAATGCCATCATGTGTGGTTCTCTTGGATTTTCATGAAACCTAGCACAATAACATACAAAAAACATTATATCAGGTCGAAAAACCCATTTCAAACCAACAATAGAAGCATTTTTCACCCAATCTGCATGATGAAGAGTAGTTTTAACATTTTTAGGTTCAATTTTTGAAATAAAATAATTAAAGATGTAAAATTCCATTTTAGAAAATAATGCAGTTTGTTTCTCTTTCTATAAAGCATGAGTCATAACACCAGAACAAGTATCACAAATTACTTGAGATTTAGGATGATTCTTAGTCCATTTTATTAATAGTTGATAGTTCTGATCATAAACTAGATCTAACTCATCTACTATCTCTTCAACTTTTGATTGCACTTCAGGTTCATCATTTTCACTATTCTCCCGAAGAAATCTGCACTAGAGATAGTATTTTGATTTGAAATCTCGCCCTCGAATTGATTACCATGATCATACTAGTTATCTTGAATAGAATTGGAAAATTCTGGATAAGAATTATGAATTGAATTTAATCTTGGAGAATTATTTTCACTCTCCCCAACAGCCTTTTAAGTTGGCAATCCTGTTGAGTTCAGAGCAGCTTCATCTTCATCAGTTTCAATATTATCCACAACCTCATCCACTAGTTTCAATAATTCATCTTCATGATTATGAGGTTCCTTTGTTTCTTAAGACAACCATTTTGGATTCATCAAACAAATTTAGAAAATCCTCATATAAAGACATAATCAGAATTGTTTTGAAATTGTTGATGGAAAAATCTCTTGCACTTGATTTGCTTTAATTTGACACAATTTGATGTATTTATTGTCAAAAGTAACATAATAACTTTCTACAAATTTCTTTGTATTTTTATTAAGAACTCAATAAGCTTTTGAAGTTAATGAATAACCCACAAAGTTTTCTTCATCTGCTTTAGTATCAAACTTGTTGCAATATTCTTTTGAATTGTATAAGAAACACCTAAAACCAAAAACATGAAAAAATTTGACGTTAGGATTCCGATTATTCAAAATTTCATAAGGAGTAATTAGAAAACACTTTTTAATGTATGAATGATTTTAAGTGAAACAAACACTGACAATAGCATCTTCCCGAAAATATAATGGAAAGTTCGCAAATGATACCATTGTTCTTGATGCTTCACACATTTGTCGGTTTCTTTTTTCTACAACTCCATTCTATTGAGGTGTATATGGTGATGAATAATTATGAACAATGCCTTTGTTTGTTAAAACTCTTGAAAAGTTTTATTCTTAAATTTCGAACAATTATCACTTCTTATTTTCCGAACTAGCTTTTGCAATTGAAGTTTGACTTGCTTGATAAAATCAGTCAGTCTCTGAGTCGTTTCAGATTTTTGTTTAAGAAAAAATACACACGTAAATCAAGAAAAATCATCAACAATAACCAAAATGTATTTTTTTACCACCAATGCTTTCAATGGAAGATAGACCACAAAGATTAATATCTAATAATTCTAGTTCTTCGATTATTTTGGTATTCATTATTGAGGAATTACTCTTTCAAGTTTGTTTACCCAACTCACAAGCAGCACATAAATGATCTTTTTCATAATTCAAAAGTGGAAGGCCTCGAACAAGATCCAATAACAAACTTGTTGATATCTTTGAATTTAAGATATAAAAGCATTCTTTTTGAATCATATTTAAATTGAGCGGATACATTTCTATTTTTCTCTTTGATTTCAGAAAAACATTATTACATTCATTTTGAAAGATTTATGAACCTTCTTCATCAAAAGATACTTTGAGACATGTACCAATAACCAATTGTGTGACAACCTGAAGTTGTCCATCGCCAAAACCCATTTCGTCCGTAAAACCCGTCTATAGCGGTTCGTTCCAATTCCGTTTTTGGGCTAAGATATTTAAGCTTATATGTTTATTATAATCTCGTGAGTGTTCAAATCACTTAAAAACTCATGAATACGGCCCAGAATAATTAAATAGAAAATTTCTAAATTCTATCCCGCTGGATTACGGTAACTTAATCGGGTGCGATCAAAAGCCACGTTTAATGTTGGTATCCGGTAGAATTCCACCGTGTCCCGAACTTACGACCTATTTAAAGCTCAAAAGACTTAATTTGAAGCCTTTCCTCTCTCTCACTACTCTCTCTCTAACCTCTCTCCTCTAACTCAAGATTAAGGTCTAAAAACATCAAATTCAAGCCCCAAATCTTCAAGGTAACCACCCTAACTCCTAGTATAGCACATTAGACCTTCAAATTCGAGTTCAAATCATGGAATAGGACCAAAATCATGTGTTTACGGCCCTGGAACACCCTTGGGCCGTGAACACATATTTAAGGGGTTTTTATGCCCTAAAACCTTTCCAAAACACCATTGAGGCATAAATATGACTTATAGAATTATGGAACTGAAATTGGAACATCTTGAACATCAATTTAGAAGAGTAAACAAGAGTTTACTACCCAAGAACATGCTTGGGCCGTAAACTCATTATCATTGGGAGTAAACTCATTTTAAAGTGTTAAATTGTCATTTAAACACACCAATATCCTTGGAATAAATTCTAGAATCAACCACAAACGTATTGGAAGCCTCAAACTTAATGAAAGCCCCACCCATAGGAGTTCACAGTCGTAAACCCCCCAAGGATGGGTTAATGGGCTGTAAACTCTTAATACATG